TATATATACACTGCTCAATAAAGGGAACACACTATTTTTAGTACATATATTTATTTAATGATAAACGATAATGATCAACATAATATATTAAATGAGCAATCCTTTGCACAAGGAAAAAAGCCTTTTTTAAAGTGTAGCAGGACGAGAATTGGAACATGTAGTTTTTAATAAAGGTAATAAAAACACAGTGGGGGGAAGGAGCAACAAAAAAAAAAAGTAAAACTTGGAGGAGGTTCCTTGTGTCTCCCTGCTGACTGATGGGAAAGTCCCTCCCTGTTGCAAAACCAGAGCTGGATTCCCTCAAAGAAAAGGCCTTTGACTGTCGGCAGGAACTCCTCTGGTTTGGTTGAATAGTTATCAGCTCTGACAGGGTGATAAACGGAGGGGTTTGTTTCACCCCCTGATGGAAACAAGCCCCCTTCATGAGACAAGGGCCTCTGCCACTCAGCTGCTCTGCAAAAGTAAAACAAAGTCAAAACTTCTGCAATACAACTTGTTTTGTAGGACATTTTGTATGCATAGATGTGTATTTATCTTTTCTAGAAAAAAGTGAGATCAATATAGAGCTTTGCTTAGTAAGGCTTCATCCTCACAAGCGGTTGTTATATTATTGAGCACATTTCTGTTTCTCTAGTTTCACTGATCGACTAAAACATGGTTTGTAAAGAAAGGAACGGTTTGTTTAAGTCGCGGGAAAAAGCTTAAGACAGATTTATTTGGGAGCTATGTTGTGTTTTTTTGCCTAAACCGTCCCTGAACRCACCATTTTCATTACATGTGCCATGACCATCAGGCCCTCCCAGCACTAAATCCTCACTTGAGCAGAGAAATAAAAATCTCTGCAAGCATGTAACTCAAATCTCAGCTCGGTCACAGAGAGGTACTTTTCCTTTTTCTCCACGTATATCCCTCTCTGAGTTGTAGATTCAGAATAAATCAGCTCAGCTCTAATTGTTTACACTGAGTTTGGGCTCTCGGCCCTGAGCTCCACGCCGTAAATCGTCGCCGTCGGCAGCCCTCTTTCGACTGAGGTGGTCCTCCGTGCATCGAGCCAGCTCTGACTTTTTAACATGTGAGCACAAACAGAAAATCAGGATCTACACGAGCAGAAACCACCTGTAAGTTTTACTCCTGTGATTTTCAGTTCCCCGAAACATGCTCTCACATCCAAAGACAATACAACTTAACTTATAAAACAACATAAAAGCAAATTTCAACAAATGAGCCAATAAAATAATAAAATGTAAAAACAACACTGTGGTTATTCTAAAACAGGGATGGTGCTCGCCATTTCTGGTTAGCTTCTTAGCTTAGCACTACATATATCACACCATGGCCCAGTGGCGGATCTAGGATTTTTCTGAATAAGGGGCCATCAAGGGGCCACAATAATCWTAGAGGGGCCAAGTATTTGTTCAATATCCTTGCACATAAATCCTCAGTAAGATGTATAAATTTAACAGGTCACATATGTTCCAACAATTGTAACGTAATGTAACGTTATTAAAAAAAGCTTAAATTCTCCTTATCAATGTTACAGGCCTTTTTACTGTATATGGATAAAATATTCTCAAAGCATGAGAAAATGAAGCCATTGTTTGCCATTTGAAAGATTTTTTTTTTTTGCAAAATTGTTCAAGTCTTTTAAAGAAGAGAAGAAGACTTCTGTAAGATTGATTCATGCTGGACTTTACAGTTTGACTCGTTAGCGCCTCTAGTGTTTGGGCATAGAACTGCACCCACCGTCATTGCTCTCAGGCAAAGGACAGATGAGGACAGGACAGGGGCACTTCAGGGGTCCAATCAGGTTTCAGCAGGGGCCAAAGCCCCTGTGACCCCGCCCCTGCCATGGCCAAACGTTAGTGATTGGGTAAAATCAGATCCAGTSGTTTTAAATTTCAACAGTCCATGCCTCCAGCAAGCAGTCGTTCCTCAACAGCCGAGACCCGACACTCTGTATCAAGCAAAGCATATAACAAGGGGGGTTTATGCTTTGCTTATTTAACTACAGACCAGAGTATTTTTTTTTACATATTGCATCATAGCCACCAAATGTCCCCAGTTTTTCAGCTGAGGACATTTGGTACCTGTCTAAGTAGGAAAAAAAAAGACTACCTAAAAGCTAACTTAAAAAACGGCAAAAGAATAGTTAACAGCTGAAAAAAAAAGTCAGATTTGGAAAAGGGGTAGCTAAAACTTGCAAATAGCTTGCTGCAAGTTAAAGGTAGCTATCGCTAGCTGTTTTTATTTTCATTGCTGACCAAACATTTCCTGACTCTGGAAAAACTTCAAAACCATCAATATAACAGTATCTCATCTACCTGTTCATTGTTTTTGCACACATACTGTYACATATTGCACAAATGCAAATGTATGCACCTTTATCTCTTTCTATTTATACCACATCAACCTCGATCTTGATCTGGATTCACTCTATTTCTTTATTATTATATTTTTTTCTGTTTTGTTCTTATATGCCTAACATACGTTGCCTTGTTTAATTTAGCATTTTGAACTTTACATTACTTTATCAAGCTGTTTATGTCGTGTGCTAATATCATCGTAATTTCGTTCTACAGCGCATCCCTGATGTTAGGTTTGAATGACAATAAAGAGAATCTGAATCTAAAAAAGGAAAATCCTAGCTAAAAGTCAAATTTAGCAAAACGATAGCTAAAAACTAAAAACTAGAGAGTAGCTTGCTCAAAGCTAAATATAGCAAAACCGTTGCTAAAACCTAAGAAACAATTAAKTTTAATATATTTCTATAGTAAAACTGTTTGTTAATCAAGTCCTCAGTTGTCCCCCTTCCTTCTCACCTGGATTCTGTTAGCAGTCAGCACACCTGTTGTCATTCAACAATCAGAACATGTGAATCTAAGTCAGGTCCTGTTTGGGTTCTTCTTTTGTTGAAACATTTTATCCAGGAGACTRCTTCAGCCTGAGTTGTTGCAGGAAAACTTCCCTCAGATTGACAAAAGTTAAAGCATTAATGACATTTCTCTGCTCGCTCAGTTTAAAGCAGAACAGTAGGGTGATTCTCCTCCCCRGACTGTAAGCTGAGAGCCTCAGAGGGAACCCCGGAGGCCCCTCCATGTGAAAACCAGTCCATTTATGGCCCCTCGCAGCACGACGCAACCATCTGGATTCTTTTTCTCCTCTGGAAGGGCAGCTCTGTGTGTACTGAGGCGGTACTCACAGCGGGCGAGGGGAATGCGCTTGTCTGGAGAAGGATGTAGATTTAAAAGATGACGCCATAATACTATATATCTTTCCTCCTCCCTTATGGAGCACGACATTTTATCAACAACTGTGTTTTACTTTTAGTGCCAGGGTCAGTCGTGGTCTGTTTCATAACTGCAACCTTTAATCACTCAACCATTGCTGTTTATTAGTTATTTGGGTTAAAAAAAACTTTCTCAAACCTCATAATGCTTCTGATTTTTTGTCCCAAAGCTGAAATATGGTAACCTGTGGATAAGTGCAAAATCTTGCAAACGAGCCACGTTGCAGAGTTGTAAATGTAGAGAGGAACATGGCTGCGAACATTACTGCCAGTCTAGCATCTGAAGCTAAAACTAAAGCCTAAAGCTGTTTCTTTATTGTGACAACTGCTGGTGAGACCTCGACAGGGGAAGGTGAGGGGGCAACACAGGGTCACGTCTCTGATAAGCAACACATGTCTCAGCACTGACTTTCTGAGAAAAACTCTCTCACAAGCTGATACAGGAACAATRTGTGAGCTAAACGGTAAACATCATTGAAAGGAAAGTTTCACAGACCGGCACCTTTACTTTTTTCTATTGTATGATGACTGATAAGCAGTGGCACAGAAAACCAAAAAGTTTACTTTGATAACTCATAATTTGCTAACTAAAAATAAACTGGTAAACAGGTTTTCTAAAATTAGTGAACACTAATGCTAAACAAGTAAAAACTAGAGAAATTGCATTTCCAGCAAAAATGCTAGTGTGAATGCTTCATGCTGAAAACTTCAGCTGAAAGCTGCTGAAATTGAGCTGAAAACATTTAATAGGAAAATAGTGCTCATTTTGAAAAGCTGAAAGGAGCAAAAAAGCCTGACTGCAGAAAAACAGTAAAAAGGAACACAAATCTAGTTGAAAACAGAAAACAGCTAAAAGCTAAGAGCTAAAACAGCTGATTTTGGCAGAAAACATCTATGAGAAGCATAAATAGCACAAGGTAGCAGAAAAAAAGCATAAAAATAAAAAAGCAGAAGAATGGCAGAAAGAAGCAGATCTATAGCTAAAGTAGCATAAAATAGCTAAAATTAGCATAAAATAAGCTAAAGGTAGCAGCCACAATTTGAAATTAGCACCCAACTGAAATAGTTAAAGTTGAAAAATAGCTAAAACTGAAAAAAAAAACCTGAAAAAAAAATCATAAAATTACATAAAAGTGATCATTTGTAGTAAAACAGCTGAAATTTTCAGTAAAACAGCTAAAACGTAGCTGGTAATTAGGAAGCATAAGGAGCACAAGTTTGCTGAACTCAGTGGAAAAAATTTGTAATAGCTACAAAAATGGTATTTAGCTCAGAAAAGCTAACTTTAGCTATATCAGCTAAACATTAGCTAAAATTTCAGCAAATAGCTGAATACAGCAGAAAGCACAAGAAGCCTAAATAGCACAAAGTAGCAGAAAAAAAGCTCAAAAAGTAGAAAAAAGCAGAATATTAGCTGAAATAGCAGAAAATAACTGTTAGTGCAGAAGCTTATTTGCTGAACAAAAAGTCAGCTGACTAAGTGTTTTTTTTTTAATATCCAAAACATTTTGGGAAAGAGAGCACAATCACTCATACAGATAAAGATTTACACTCGATTTAGAGCTGAGTTCACAGATTTTTCACCCTTAAACTTTTGTTAAACATAAAATCTCAGCTGACTGAACCTTATTTATAGAGCCTGTTGAATTCACTTCAGAAAAACAGAACAAGAAGTAAAGACAGTAAAGTTTGTTCAGTTGTTCGGGGCCTCTTCAATGCAGATTTAATAATTAATCAGAAAGTAAACAGAAGCTTACTGTAGTTTCAGAACCTTTAAATCCAAAGAATAATGTTCATTTTTCTCCCACAGCACATATAGATGTGAAGAAGTTGGCAGCAGGTCCAAATGTCCACACATGCATCTGTAACTTGTGTGAAACTTGCTTTATGTCCTTTTCAGTCTTGTAATCAATAACCTTTTTTTTCAGCTGGCAATATAAACAGCCCATTAATTTTCCATGCAGGCATTTTTCTAGGCTTTTCCCTGAATACTGCAAACTGAAACTGCTTTAAATCACAGCTCAGGGGCCTCTGGTGTGTTTTTATTGAGTAACTGATGTATTACTTTTTAATTATCCATTCTTCTTCTGCTGCTGCTGTTCGCAAAAGTCCATTTCAAGCGCAGTGGAATATAGTGTCTGCCTTCAGGAGGAAACTCAGTAACAACATTGCATCAGAAATTATGATGTGTGTCCACCTCCTGGTAAAATCTGCTGTTTTGTTGCTTTTTAATATGAATTTTCCATCTAAACCCATTAGATGTGCACAGGCACTGACATGTTGTCCCATAATGTCTACTACCTGGTAGGCAGTGTCCCCCAGTGGTTTATAAAACAAGATGTAAACATGAAGGGAACTGGGTCAGATGTAAGACTGCTGGTGGTGCCTCTTTGGCCAATCAGTAGCTTTGGGATTTCTCATTGGTTGAATATGAGCTGTCACTCAAAGATAGATAGATAGATAGATAGATAGATAGATAGATAGATAGATAGATAGATAGATAGATAGATAGATAGATAGATAGATAGATAGATAGATAGAT